TTACGTTCACCTACGTGAACGTCGGTTGGTATGGGTAGTGCAGTGAAGGCGCTTTCAGTAACATCCGCGAAGCCTTTCCAATCAGCTTTACAAAAGTTGACATAGGTGCGGTGATCCGCGGAAGCAAAGTCGGCTGGTTTATCAATCGAGATGATTAAGGGCAGATGGTCTGACGCTAAAGTCAGCATATGTCGCCATGATACGCTGTTTATCAGACCAGCGCTGACTATTGTTAGGTCTGGCGAGCTGCAGCAGCTGCCCATAATCCTGGTGGGTGCGTCGTCGTTCATTGTGCAGAATGTCAATCGCCTATCTGCTCAGCCAATTGTGTTCCCCTACGATCGTTTGACAGGTTTGAATGACAAAGATCGTGATGCGCATTGAAGTCACCAACTACCTCTGAGGAGCGCACCTATTTCAGGGTGATATCCTGACGGGCAGCTGGTGGCAGGGGGTATGTATACGTTAAATATTTCGAGCTCGACATCGCCTGACCGGATAGCAATTCCCTGACATTCTAGGATGGTATCCCTGCGGTCGATGTCTGCTTCGATAAGACAATACTGCACGGTGTGGTGCGTGATGAACGCAAGGCCTCCACCATAATCACGCTCGCGATCTCGACGGTGCACGTTGTGTCCGGCGCAATTCAACAGTGTTGAATTGCCGTGCAGCTTCGTCTCTTGTACCGCAGCTATTAAAATTCCGTGTGCCTAGGGAGACCAGTGATGCCAGATTGTGGGTAATTTCCCTATTTGAGGGATATTTTGCATCAAAAATTATTAGAAGGGAAAAAAGGGACACTTCATATAAATAAGGGATTTTCTTTTGACGCAGTTATTGTTGCATAATTGATCAAAATTCAAGAATATTCGACATTCTTACGTAATTAATCGTTCTGAAGATGTGATGTGGAGTGAAATGGTATATAATTGTTAAAAAGTATAAGGACAATTTCGAAAATTTTCTTACGTTAACCAATTGAAGCGCTGAGTAAGAAAGAATCTTTTCAGTTGTAACTGGTGTTTCAAGTAAAAAGCGGAACAAATTATCTGATGAAATGTTAAATAGCACATGAATGTGCTTAAATTTTAAAGTCACCAAAAAATTCTTTTAGGCCCTTAGTGAGTGAGCAAAAAAATTAAAGGGAAAAAATGAATGAGTGAAAAAAGCAGAAAAAGGGGTTTTTTCTTAACAGCGGTCGGCCCTCGACAGGCAATGGCAAACCTCCGAGTGTATTCCTGCCATGAAAAACAGCTTCTCATAAAAATACACTCGCCATTCGGAGTCGGCGTAAAACTGTAGGTCCCTCCTGTTTGTGTGACAACATCAAGGGGACCGCCACAAATTGGAGGAAAAGCACATATGTGTAAGCGCCAAACTATTATTATTATTTTATATGAATTTTACTTCTTTACTACTGAAACATGTATATGTTTAAATTCGTTGGGAATTTTGTGGGATAAATTTTCAAGATGTGGGTAATTGAGGGATTTTTTCCCCATTTCCGTGGGATATTTAACAGAGAATGTCTGGCATCACTGAGGGAGACTTGTTGGAATGTGGGGTGTTAGTGATGTGTGTTGCCGTGCCGCCACATGCTGTGCTTCCTGCTGCTGAGGCTGTTGCCCTGTGGTATTATTGGTCGGGTCGGTCGCGTGGTGCGCAGTCTTGAGCATGCCCTAAAGTGACACCAGCCAAGGCAGGTGTTGCACTTGACTGATGTCACATTACGGAATATCCTGGACTGACATACCGTGCGGATTGTCGGAGGAACTAGGAGTTGTTGGCGGTGGCGTGTGGGTGGTGATGCAGTTGTATCTGTAGTGTAGTCTGTACGTGGTATTGTCTATTGTATTGTGTTGTGGTGCGGTTGTGTTTGTGTTGAGTTGCTCAGGCGGACTATGTTGTGCCGTGGAGGCAGTTCCATTGATGCAGCAAGGGGCCACGTACGCAGTGGTCCAATGCCTGTGAGTCATGAGGCTTGAGAAAATTCGGAGGTGGCTCCACCCATTGCATGTATTGCATCTGACGGAGGTGGAGTTGTGGTGTAATCGTCTCTGGCACACGCAGCAGGTATATGTTTCTGGTCCAGGGTCTGACTCAATGCCAGCCCTGAGCAGAAGTATGCGAAGAAGAAAAGGAGCCCTATGGAAGTACAACTTTTGACAACAGCCCTTGGTCGGGAAAAACCCGAGTCATTCCGGTACGTAGAACCGGCTGTCGTGGGAATGAAAATCTAGCGGGTTTCACGGGGTGGTGTCCTTTCCCCTTTACTGTTTAACTTTGATATATTCAAACTCCCTCAACCACCAGAGGCAGTCTCGATTGTCTCTTATGCTGATGATTGTTCGATAATGGCGTCTGGGAATGGAATTGATGACGTGTGCTCTAAAGTAAACGGTTACCTCTCCGAGCTTTCTCGCTTCTTCACTGCAAGGAGCCTAACCCTCTCCCCTCCAAAATCCTCAGCAACACGTTTCACCACTTGGACGGAGGAGGTCAGACTGCATTGACAGTGAAAACCCCGAAAATCCTTGGAGACACCTTCGACAGTCTGCTCTCCTTTTCGGCACACAACCGCAATAAATCAATAAAGTACAGAGCTGCAACAAGGTCCTCAAGTCGCTAGCCAGCAGCGCCTGGGGCAAAGACAAGGAAACGTTGCTGGCTTCATGCATGGCAATTGGCCGGCCGGTTCTAAACTACGCAGCCAGTGTGGTCGCCGGGGACCAGTAAGACGCAGTGGATGAAGCTACAGACAACACAAAATACAGCACTCCGGATCGTGACCGGATGTCTTCTGATGTCACCAGATGTGTAGGTGATACAACGAGGCGCTAATGCTCCCCATTAGAGAGCACAACTCAATGGTTTGCAAGCAATTCTTAGTAGGGAGCTACAGACGTGGCCACCCAAACAGGCATTTGCTTGCAGAGGAGCCCTCGCCAAGGTACGAACAGACGGGCAAAGTTCAGAGGTTCATAAAGAAACCTCTGGACCCGACAGCGTATCGACAGGTCTTGAGCGACATTCACCGGGAATCAGTCTCAAGTTACGTAGACTCCAGACCTGTGAATGCTGTTCTGGGAACACAACCACCTGACATGGACGAGACAGAGCTTCGTCTGCCTCGGGAGTGTCGGACCACAATAGCCCAACTTCACTCTGGCTACTGCAGCAGGTTGAACTCGTACCTGAGCAGACTGGATGCAGATGTGCCCTATGAGTGCCCGGCTGCGGAGAGACACCTCACGAATCGAGACATCCCTTCGCATGCTAACTAAACTCAACTCAACTAACGCCTCTCTCCCTATGGACGGGCCTTATAGAGGCTGGGCGCTTCTTGGGCCTCCCGTCAGTTGACGAGAGCGATTGAGGGATTGGCCGATCTGGGCGGGGTTGTTGTAGCCGCTATAACAACAAAAACAAACTGCACATGACGAAAGGGAAATAACCGGAAATATAAGAATACGAATGCGCTGACTTTGACATGTCGTACGCGTGGATGATGACGCTGGGACGAAAAGATCCGTCGCCTCGGCACGCCTGGGTGGATAACGAAAGCAAGGGTGCTGACTCCGAGCACAATGGAAGGACCTGTCTACAACTTGAGATGAAGAACTGGGCCTATTCTGTGAAAGAGAAAAGAAATTGGAGCAGAAGTTTTGGTCGCGGCCCTATCACAGAAACTGTTGTAGTTCCAAATATAAATTAATTTAAAAATAACACTCATTACTATGTTGTTTTTGTAAATGTGGTGTTTATTAAATTATAATCAAATAATTGATTTACGTATGTTTACAGCGCATAATATATTCTGAAATTAAATTGCTATACATATACTTATGCCGGATTTCCACTAGGCATTAAATGGCAAAAATGACAAATGACAAAGTCGGGCATTAAAAAAAAAACGTGTAATTACATTAAAAAAATTGCCATTAAGTTGATTTTCGCATGGCATTTTTTTAAAAGGCATATATTTTTTGCCATTTCAATGCCTAGTGGAAATTCGGCATTACATAGATAGCTATTGTACATATATACATACTAGGAATATTCTTGGCATATAATCCCGGGATTTTTGGGATTTGTAATTTGTACCGATAGCAATAATAGAAACTCCTTTTCTTGACCAGTATTGGCTATATTTCTTTTTTTATTTAATAATTAATCTTTTTTTATAAATGTCTAGTTCGTAATACATATAACACCGCGCGACAGTAAATTTTAAACACAAATTTCAATATATTCGCGAAAGCCTGGGCCAAATATAGTAAAATTGCGTTTGTAGTTTTTTACTCTGACGTCAGTATGGGTATAAAATTAATGGGGAAATCCAGTAGAATTTAAACAGATTAAAGTTTCTGGTGAAGAAGGGCTGGTAAATATTGAAAACGTCATTTTAAAATTTTATCCTTGAAATTTCGCAATATTTGTTTTTGAAAAAATTATATGTTAAAGGCTTATATAAACTCGATGGCATCCTCGAATTTCGTTCTTCTAACTTTGTCAGCTTAAAAATTACCTATTCGTCCTTGTGAATCCAAAAAATTTGAATTTTTTACATTCTAAAGAAATTTGTTATTGCATTTGTTACCCATATTTTTATTCTACATTGCATTGAATTTTTTTTAACAAATTTTGGAATTAATCTTATCTTTGAAATTACAAAGTCCTTCAAAATAAATCCTGCCGTCAGAGAGAAAAAATAAAAACGCCACTTTAAATAAAAAAGTAGGTTTCAAACCCATTTATTTATTATTTATTTCATGGTAGGAGAGCTTCTCAAACAATATAGAAGCAATTTTTTCCATTAAAGTGGTTGAAAAGTAATAAATATCTAAATCCCGGGACTAATCTCGGGAGTGTGACAACGCCATCCAGAATATCCCGGGATCGGAAAAAGCCGAAAAATTAACATCCCTAATACATAGATATGTACGTACGACATAACATATATATTTAACGTTAAAGGAAATTATTCATATATAAAAATAGGAAGGCAAATGGTACAATTGCGCAAGCAACACGTTGCAATAAATGAAAAGAACGGCAAAAACCGATTTATATAATCCATTATTTACAAAGCTCGAGCTTCTTAAATACTAAAAATAAAATATTTAACCAATCTGCAATTGTTGCAGCGTTAAAAAGAGGGCATGTGTATGTAATAATTAATACATATTTATTAGAAACTTAGCAAACCTTAAAATGAAGTAAAGATTTTATGAAACTATTCGTCATCTTTGTTATTCATGGGATTTTGAAGTCGGTACCATTTACGAAATGATTTTATTAGTTTATCAGTTTTAAAATTGGTTTGATTACATTCAAAGTAAAATTTCGTTCCCACGTAACCGGAACGGAACGGCACTGTTAACAAGCAGCATCCCCGAAACTCTTTGGGGAATTCTTATATCGAAATGTTTTTGGATAACTTAAATTTTCTATTCACTTAATGAATCCACGTAAGTATACGGCAAAACTGATATCTTCCAAACAATTTTAATGCAGTTATTGTTTTCCTTACAAATATCCTGATTTCAAACCTACGATTTTCTTAACATGCTTCTATATAATAATAAATATCCTGAATCATTCACAGGTTATCCGTTTAGGATTACCCAGCTCCTGTCATTAGAAGTAGCAGTGGACTTAATTAGTTTTACACTTATTGCTAAATAAAAAGATTAGTCATTACATTCACACTCATATGAGTATATAGATTTATATGTAAATGCTAAAAGCATAGCTTTTTGAGCAATGTATTCGCTAATATTTGAATATTTTGTATGTATTTACCACACTAACAGAGTAGTTATAGCATACACATATTAAAATTTTGGACAATATCATTACTAAGTCATCATATTTTATTAAGAACATTGGAAAAAATTGTCGAATTATTTTCAGCATTGGCCGTGATACTCTCAATGCTTTCATTACTACCCAACCTCACAAGCGTTGGCTTTTTCTTCATTGCGGCTGCAGCAGCTGCTGAACGGGGCCCCATCATATAATAAGTCTTTGGTGCTGACTTTTGTTTGGGCATCTCTGGCATCGAAGGTTTTTCTCTTCGCTGCTCTTCTCTCGACCGAGTTTCATTATTTACTACATCATTTGGATTAGGGGTTGCTGGAAAATTGTCATTCCCGAATTTTTGTGGGCGTAATTTTTCCGGTATCATAAACGATTTGAGCTCCAGCTCAGTAGTATTTACAACTTCGCAATCAATTTGCATTAATATTATATCGCCATTGATAGAGGGATCGCCAGCAGGCAGCATTAACGACATTTTTGGGCGTGCGCTCTTGTTGTAGGCTGATGCTGGCAACAGTATGTGATCCATGTTAAAAGACAAGACATAAAATGTATCATCTTGCCTTTTTATGCCCTTAAACAGACGCAAATACTCTTCATTAATTTTTGGCTTAAAGATATCCAAAGAGTTGTTTCCGCTTTCAGATTCATCGCTTCCATCAAGCATATTTTCATGGGCCCCTTCCAATTTAGGTTGCTTGCTTTGAACCAATGATGGCGTCATTATTACTCTACGTTTCATTTTTGTCGACGGCAATGCCTCTTGCAGAGGGAGTTGCAATGGTTTCCTTTCATAATAATCAGATGCAAATTTTCTAAACCGAAGAGAATTATCCAAGACGTTGTCATGTTTTTTATATAAGCTCAAGTTCAAGTAATCATTTACATCTATCCACTTATGTAAATTGCTATGCAAACGTTGATTTTCCGTGTAATTTGAGCCGCTAGTACATTTATTTGAACTGGATGTCAGTGGCATTTTCCTAGACGTTATATTATGATTTTCTTCACTTGTCGCTGCTGTCTTAGAGCGATTAACTGGGTGTAAGAAATGCAGTGGCGGTACGTCCATCTCTGCTTCTCGTTTGGTGTTATTCATTTTCTGTTTGAATTCATTTTCTGTTTCGGCCCAAAGCAGACGCCGACCTGTAGCAGCCGGCTCGTCTGCAGAAGCTGCACCCGACTCAATAGAATTCTCAATTGTATTTTTGTTCATATAATTCTGAAAATTACCGACATTCATTGATACCATAAAAGCCATTGCAAAAAGAATAGCTATGTTCTTTTTCACATTAGCGGCTGTCATTCGTTGTTTTATACTTTTTAAGGTTGGTTTGGGGGCAATTTTCACATGTTGATCGCTGCAGCATATCTTTGCATTGAAATCTAATGTGTTCAAAACGAATTCACTGATGTTGCTGTTTTTACATTGGCAGGATTGAGCCAAAGCTACTAACTGAGAGCGAAGCGATGAATTCTCCTAAAATATATATTAGCAATTAGAATGTTTTGATACTTCAATAATTATGGGTTAATTACAAAAAATATTTATCTAATAAGGGGTGCTCTATATAGAACTTTTTTTTTGTAATTTTAAATAAAACACGCAAAAACTGGAACTGGATGTCCTGAATATTTTTTATTGCCCGAAAGAACCATCTCTGATAACCATAACATAAAAAGATTGAGCTCTACCTTATCATGGACGGATTATTTTTGCCTGAAATTAAAGTCCGCGATGTATGCAACATTTGGTTTCAGCAAGTTATGGTGTGATATCATACCTCTAGATTTTTTTTCTGTAGGGTTATGTGAAGTAAAAATTCTTTGTCAATAAACTAGATATGATTCAAAAACTGGGAAGCCAACATTACTCGCGTAATTCGCGCATTGCCGGAAAGTGTGATTGAAAACCGGACCATTTGAATGGAACGAGTAACATTTAATTGAAATTATTCTTAAAAAGTAAATGTCAGAGATTGTTCTTTCGGGGTATAATGAAGATTCCGATATCCAGTTGCGTTTTGAGAGTTTTATTTAAAATTAAAAAACAAAGGTTACGATGGATCACCCTTTATTAGATACAACGATTACATTACCAATTTTTTAAAACGATTTTATAGCTACATATCAGGGACGTGAAATTTTCCACAAATGTTTAATCCGAACCGAAAACCGAACCAGTTTTTATAAAGGTTTAAAGGTTCGTTCCAACCAATTTTCAATAGATATGTTTACCCGTTTTTTTCTTTTTGTTAAATATGGTAATAAGTACATACCATGTTCATCTCATTTGACAGGCACTAGACACTGAACCTTGCTCGTTGTAGCACTTACTACTTTACACTTAAACTTGCGCGTTATTTTTTTTTATACCCGAGCGCACTTCTGCACCAGGGTATTATAACTTTGTTCACATAACCGTTGTTTGTAACAGACAAAATGACACTCCAACTCAGTCAAGTGCAATGCTTGCGAGGGGTGGAGTCACCTCAGAGTCTGCTCAGGACTACGGACACATCGGCAGTGGACCACGTCGTTTGTGGCCCTCTGCTGCTCAAACAGAGCAGCCTCCACGGCTAACCCCAGTCCACCTGAGCAGTCCCACACAAACACCACAGCACAACAACATAACACAATAGACCACAACACAACCGCGACAGACCACAGAACACACACAACCGCACCACCACCCACACGCCGCCGCCAACAACTCTTGGTTCCTCCTACAATCTGCACGGTATGTCAGACCAGGATATTCCGTAATGTGACATCAGTCAAGTGCAACACCTGCCTTGGCTGGAGCCACTTTAGGGCATGTTTAGGTCTGCGCACCACGCGAGATTGGACGAGGAACTTCGAGGGTCAGTGTTGCGCTGCACAGTCGCAAACCTCAACCGCGACGCCGCCCACTACCACCACAGCGCGGCAGAGCAAGATCGAGGAGATAACCGTATTTATGGGAAGGCATGGTATACTGATAGCTGCGGTCCAAGAGACGAAGTTGCACAGCAATTCAACATTGTTGAATCGTGCCGGGTACAACGTGCACCGTCGAGATCGCGAGCGAGATAATGGTGGTGGCTTAGCGTTCATCACGCACCACACCGTGAAGTATCGTCTTATCGAAGCAGACATCGACCGCAGGGATACCACCCTAGAATGTCAGGGCATTGCTATCCGGTCAGGCGATGTTGAGCTCGAAATATTCAACGTTTATATACCCGATAAACCAACCGACTTGGCTTCCGCGGAGCACCGAACATATATCAACTTCTTCAAAGCTGATTGGTAAGGCTTCGCGGAATTTACTGAAAACACCTTCGCTGCTCTCCCCACACCAACCGACGTCCACCTTGGTGAACGTAATTTCCGCAGGGCTGTCACCGCTGCTGCAGCTCCCTTCGTACCGGCAGGATGCATCACTGACCCACGTCCAAATTTCCCTGCCGAGGCGGCTGTTCTAGCCGATGAGCGTGACAGCTTTCGTCAGGCCGATCCCGGAAATCCCCGCATTAGGGATCTCAACTCGGAGATTCGGCAACTAGTGAACGTACATAAGCGGTAGGTTGATCAACCGTGAGTTCACTGTCCAACCCGACGAAGCACGACGACAGAGTCGAAATTTCTTTCGGCGATCATGCCTCGTCGGACCCGGAGCGATACGCGAGCTACTTTAGCCGGCAGTTCATACTGCATCCTCCGGTGGACAAAGCCAAGCGTCGAGTGACCAGAAGGCTGCACAAACTGCCAACAAATTGTCCCCCCTTGCTTTCACCTGCGGTGAAGTTCAGGTGGACATCGGGAAGGCGAAAGCCTCCAAAGCCGACGGAATATGCATGCTAATGCTGAAAAATTTGGGTCCTGCGGGAGTAGCGTACCTAACGGAGGTCCTCAATTTGTCTATGGCCACTCTCATCATCCCAGACATCTGGAAGGTGGGGAGAGTGGTCCCACTGCTCAAACCGGGGAAACCCGCCAACAAAGGAGATTCGTATCGACTGATAACACTCCTTTCCCCGGTAGCGAAGACACTTGAGGCCCTGCTGCTCCCGTATTTCACGAACCACCTGACCCCAGCGAAGCATCAGCATGTTTCCGTAAAGTGCACACTCAGATAACACGTGGCCTTAACCGTAACCGTCCCTGTGAGAGAACGATTCTAGTAGCGTTGGACCTGTCAAAGGCTTTTGACACTGTCAGCAATTCCACGCTACTAGAAGATATAGAGGCTTCCTCTCTCCCACAGAGGCTCAAACGGTGGTCGGAAAATTTGAGTGGTCGACACTCGTCGGTAATGTTTAGAGACAAATCGAGCAAACTTAGAAAAATAAAACAGGGGGTTCCACAGGGTGGTGTCCTTTCCCTGACTTTGTTCAACTTTTATATTTCAAAGCTCCCTCAACCACCAGAGGGAGTCTCGATTGTCTCCTACGCCGAGACATGTGAATGCCGGTCTAGTCACACAAACACCGGACATTGACGCGACGGAGCTCCATCTGCCTCGGGAGACTAGAACAACAATATCCCAACTTCGCTCTGGCTACTGCAGCAGGCTAAACTCTTACCTGTGTAGGCTAAACGCGGATGTGCCGAATGAATGTTCGGCATGCGGAAAGATCCCTCACGACTCGAAACATCTCTTCGCATGCCCGGAAACCCTACAATCCTAACGGCGTCGTCCCTGTGGACCCCATAGAGGATGCACGCTTCTTGGGGCTGCCGTTAGTGGAACTCGACGACAATGACTGAAATATCAACCGATCTGGGCGGGGTTGTTGTAGCCGCTACAACAACAACAACAACAATCGAAAGGTAGTATTTATACCGCTATTGCATAATATTTAGCTCGACCTCCGAGAAAGATTGCCGAAATATACAATACATAAACATTTTTGAGTTGAACTATTACTTCCATAAATATAAAATTAGGGAATATAATACGCTACAAAAAGACGCTATCAGTTTGAAAGGAGAGTATAAAGTTCGGTCAGAACGATGAACAAATGAGGTAAGCGAAAAGCCATACCTAAAATCAGCAGCAGAAGTTCTTGGTAAATGGGACGACGAATATGCTTTTCCGTTGATTAACAAACTTCCCCGCATTCTGACGACACTTCTAGCTAGTAACGCTACTTCAGAAAGAAGTTACCCTTCGCCGGATAAAAGCATGGTACCATTAATTAAAAAAGACTGATAGGTCAAGCACTTTTACACGTACACTTAGGGCCAGTTTTTCAGTGCACGGTCGTAGTTTAAACTTAGTTTAAACGCCCGAGCTGGCTGCTTTAAACTAAGATTAGCCAATCAAATGTCAGTCAGCTGTTCATTGTAAATTCAGTTTACGTAATCTGAGTTTAAACTGCCACTGAGACTAGCCCTTAGATATTGAAATTGACACTGACCGGATAATACAAAGATTCCCAAAAGGAAAGCGCAAAATTGAGTTTGTAATTTAAACTATTATAATCAAAATTCCGAATAAGTTGTTAAGTTACTAAATTACATCCCTCATTTGACAAACATTATAAGCAAAAAATAAGTATTTATGTAATATCGCTAGCTTAGAGTGAAATGTTACTAAGTCCACTTTTTATGAACAATTAGTTTTTGGTGCAGGAAGCAAGGAAAACTGAAAATGCACCGTTTCTGAAAGGATCTAACTACTTGTTTTATTTCTACCCGTTTTATTCCGTGATGCGCAAAATTGCTAAGTCCAAAGTAGTCACAGAAAATTTGATAAGTACAAAAAAATATGAATATTTTTTTACGCTATCGAATTCGATTTGTATTGAGGGTTGTGCAACAACATTATTTTTGAATATTTATATACATATGTATGTATCTATATAAGGCTGGGTCGATTTTGTATGGGGGAATATAAAAGGTAATAGTAATATTATGATGTTTTGTTATTGGCCAAGAAAGATTAATTTAAAACTTATCTTTAGCTCGCGCAATTGAATCAAAGTGTATGAATTTTGAAAATGAAACTTTGGCTTGTAATATCTATGGAATGCGTTAAGTGTTATAAACAGGACGATATATCAAATTAAGGGTTATTAAATTTAGTACCTCTCGTTCATTTATCATTTTTCAATAAGTATACAAATTTTTAAGATATTAAAATAAAAAATAAGAAAACTATAATTTTCCCTTATGAATTTTCAATTCTTCATTACTTCAGCAACCAAGTGAAAAATACAAAAAAGCGAGACGAGATTTATTTCAAACGTTTTAATGCTTTCGGATGTTTATATAATATTAAAAGGACCGTGGACTTGGTCACGCCTATTTGGTCAGTTTTCTAGATCATGGTGAAGGAAGTCAAACATGTATTGTCCAAGATTAGGAATCGTTTGATAAGTTAATAATAGTTGCAAGCATAAATATAAGTATTTGCATACATTAACATAATACAATTAGGGCGAGAAAAGCCCATTTTGAGTCCATTTTTCGTGGTTTCTAAATTTGCCGTTA